AGAGAAAATCCTGCAGCTCAAACCAGCCCCTGAAGTCACAGCCGCTTGGTGAGACCAGGCTGGGCTGTGCCCAGGTTGTTCTTGGAACCCCCGACACACACACACACCCACCCACACACACACACACACACACACACTCAAAAGCTGTTCTGCTCCCTGACCAACTTCTTGAGATCAGGCCTTCTTGAGATCACCCTCCACACTGACTCCTTGGACAAGAGATTTCTCCCAGCCACTCCCAGAACAAATATGGGGGAAAGTGAGGCACACAGGGGCCTCTGTAAACTTAAAAGGAGAAATTTTGGTATGTCAAGGGACCTTTCTAGGCTGACTAACATCAAAAGACAGGGGTAAATACACATAATTATTCTATGATTAGTGCTGGGTTCCATTGGGCCCTGTCTGGTGCCTAAGGATGATTCTTCTGCCTCACTCGATTGCCTGCCCCACCCCCAGCTAGGTGCCCCCAGTGAGACATTGTCTTCAGCCTCTTCTGGCAGGAAAACACAGGACCACCCACTGGTGTTTTCCTGGCAGTAGCGGTGGGGTGTCTCTCCAACATTTTGTCCCAGTAGCCTCTTTGGAGGTCAATATATCGTTCTCTTCCTGTTTTTCCATGAATGAGTTCATGCCAACACTCGAATAAGTTCCCCTTCCCACCAGCTGATGGTTGGATGAGGTTATACTACCAATATAGCCAGTAGAGACCGTGTGGAGTTTGGGGGTTTGTTTGTTTGTATTTTTAAAGATGACCGACCGGTAAGGGGATCTCAACCCTTGGCTTGGTGTTGTCAGCACCACGCTCACCCAGTGAGCTAACCAGCCATCCCTATATGGGATCCGAACCCGGGGCCTTGGTGTTATCAGCACCGCACTCTCCCGAGTGAGCCACGGGGCCGGCCCAAGTCCCCCTGGAGTTTTAAGAAGGGAGCCAGGCTGGCTGTGGAAGGCCAGACGCCTCTGCTCGGCCCTTCGGGGTGAGGCAAGCCTGGCTGGGCGGCTGCCGTCGCCCCCCCCGCCACTCCCTACCTGGCCCCCTCTCATGTCCTTCATGTTCATGGCATTCTTCATGCCTTTGCCCTTCTCCTTCTTGTTCTTCTTCTTCTTGCAGCAGCACTTCTTGCAGATGCAGAAGCAGCAGGTGAGCAGCAGGAGGCCGGCGACCACGGCGATGGCGATCAGTGCCCAGGGTGGTACTGCCCACACAGAGGAGACCCCAGAGTCAGGGGTGCTGTTCCTCACAGCCCCTGACCCCAAAGCACTGGCAAAAATGGGTAGGGACTAGGACCTCCCCCTGCCCCAGCTCCCCATTTTTTTAGCCACACACCCACGAGTGATTTGCAGGTAAGGTGCATATAATCTGCGTGCCTTTTCATTAACACCTTGCTCTTTCCTTAGCCTGCTGCCCTTGTGGATACCGCTGTGAACCGAGAGGTAGCAACCAGGTGCACGCGTGAAAGAACATCCGTTTGGCTCTACTGAGTTTTGACTAGTTCTATCTATGGAGAACCTGACACATACTGTAGAGAATGGGGTCGTCCTTGTCACATCCCGGTGATAAGGAAGAGCCCCTTGGCCCCCGTCCCTTGTCTCCAGCCTTGAGAGTGCTGATGCAAAGACAGAAAGGCTCCTTAAGGTCTAGTGTGGACCTAAAGGGCTGGGCGCTGCAGAGCTCCAGTGTTTGGGGATGGGTCCTGGGCTGCTTTCCGTGCTCCTGAAGACCATCTCCCACCAGAGTGTGGCTTCTCCCCCTTAAACTGGATCTCTGGTGTCTGCTACACAGCTTTGGCCAGAAATGTAGAAAGCAGGAAGGGTTTTTATTTTCTGTCTTCCAAAATAAAGTAATTTCAAAGTGTTACTGGAAAACCTGAATAGTGACTTCTGTTTCCTAATTCTTCATCTTCTGACAATTTTCTACATTGTAACTTAGAACTTTTATCTCCGGGAAGCTGGGGTGCATAACCCCCCTCCTTGTTTCCTTCATTAGTGTCAGACCTGCTTCCTCCTCCCCCATTCCTGTAGGGGCTCTCCAAAGAATCCAGCCTTAAACCCAAGCATTAGGAAAGAAAGCAGCAATCGCACCCCAGAGGCGTGTCCCCTCCCTCAACCCTGACCTGCCACAATCCCCTGGGACACTCACAGGGGATCTTGTTGATCTCATTGAAGAACTTCTCCTTCAGCTTGGCAAACATGTCCTCCTGGCTCTCCCCAGCACCCCCACTCTCAGTGGAGTTGTCCATGGGCCCAACTGGCATTGTGGCAGTGGTGGTGGCAGGAACCACAATGGGCTCCTGATTCCTCTTGAAGATGTTCCTCATGGTGGCGGAGGGGACAGCTGTGAATGAGAGAAGAAAGCAGGGTGAACATTCCAAAGGTCCTCTTCCCTCAGAAAGCTCTGCCAAAGGACCAGGAGAAGCTCCTCCAAAAGCTAAAGACTGTTAAATCTCTTTAAAACGCAAAGATATTTTGCATAATGTCAGCAACTGTGCTAAAAACAGTATTAGCCATCATTAAGCTAGTACATGTGTGTCAGGCACCGTGCAATGTATTTTCAATACATTATCTCACTTAATTCAAACGACCTAATATTTTATTATTGTTCCCACTTAACAGATGAGGAAACAGGTTCAGAGAAGTTAGCAGTTTTCCCAAGGTCACTGTATTAGTCTATTCCAGTTGCTTATAACAAAATACCTGAAACTGGGTGATTTATAAAGAAAACAAAATGTATTGCTTACAGTTCCTGAGGCTGGGAAGTCCAAAGCCCATCTGATGGTGTCAACAGTGACCCACGCACCTCACATTGCAAGATGGTGGAAGCAGAGAGAGACACAGACAGAGAGGCAGACTCTCCTCTTCTGTTAAAGCCTCAGAACCACGCCCTGACCACCATTTATAATCCATTCACTACTGCACAGTCCTACAATCCAATCCCCTCTTCAAGGCTACATTTTTCAGTGACCATAATAGGATCTCCCACCCTCTTAACAGTCACAGTGGGGGCTAAGTTTCTAATACATAAAACTTGGGGGACACAATTCAAGCTTCAGGGAGTTCGGGGGGACATAAATCAATCCACTACAGTCACTTGTTGTAAATTCTGGGACTGAGGTTTGACCGAATCTGCCTGACTCTGAAGCCCATAGCCCTGGTTGCCTTCCCATCCCTCACTTAAATCTAACCTCACGACACCTCCAGGGAAGGAGCGAGGTTCTGCACCAGGGACTCCTCCTTGAGTCCACGACATTGCCCTGCAGAGATGCTCCTCCTGTCTCCGCAGTGCTCATCCCTGGCTCCAGGTCCTCCTCCTGCCCTCTACGACCCCCTCCCCAGCCCTTTTCTCCTTCTTCACTGACTCCCTCCCTCAATGCTCGCTCAGGGTTTGCGCTGACCTCTAAGAAGCAAGGCCCCTGTCCCCACCTCTAGCCCTCCCTCCCCTGGGCTTCAGCCTAGTCTTTCGCCCAGCTTGGGGTTCATCTCCAGCCCTGCCTCCCTCGCCCACCAACTGCATAGTAGCCCTCCCACATCAAGGAAGTGGTTTCATTAATAATAAAAATAATCCAGTCTTACTGTAGAAAATTTGGGGAGAGGCTGAGAGAGACAGAGAGAAATTCCCCACGATTCCACAAAACAGAGATAACTAAGGTTAGCGTTTGGGGCATTCTATGCCAGCACTTTTTCTGAGTGAGTTTCACATGTTAACACCATACTATACGTGAGAACAGTTTGGTATTTTGCCTTTTTCAAAAGATGGAGTTTTATCATAAGCCTTTCCTTTATCATTAAATAGCTAAATAATATCCTATTACATGGTAAAATGACAATTTGTTTAACCCTTCCACTATTAGACATTTAGATAGTTTCCAACTTTTTGCTAGTAAAAATATTACTATGATGAGCATAAACTTTGGCCATCATTTAAGGCAATGTTCTTACGAGCTTCCAAACTCGGCCTCACCCCCCACTCCTGTCTACCGAGCTATTTCTTTTTTTAAAAAAAACGTATTTATTTTTCCCAAAACAACTCCCTGATAGTCCACCAAGCTATTTCTTTTTCTTTTTTTTTTTTTTTTGGTCCTTTTTGAGACTGGCCGCACCACGCTCAGCCAGTGAGAGCACCGACCATCCCTATATAGGATCCGAACCCGCGGCGGGAGCGCTGCTGTGCTCCCAGCGCTGCACTCTCCCGAGTGCGCCACGGGCTCGGCCCACCACCAAGCTATTTCTGTTTCTCAAATGGGAGTAAATGCTTCCCCTCAACTGCAGGTCCCATGAGGGGCAGATGCTGTGTTGGCACAAGCATCCCTCCATGCCAGTCACACAGAGGGTGCCCAGGAGAGATTTGCTGACTGCAGTCCATTGCAGACACTGCGATGCATGCCCAGATGTGCTCAGGTCACAAGAATAAACGGCATATGTCCCAGATGCGTCAGTTTTACTTGGCGACAATTTACAAAAAAAAAAAAAAATTAAAAAAAAATTTTAAAGACAATTTACGGTATTTTTTTATTATTAAAACAAGCATGGAATGGGCCGGCCCGGTGGCGCACTCGGTAGAGTGCGGCACTTGGGAGTGCGGTGGCGCTCCCGCCGAGGGTTCAGATCCCATATAGAGACCGGTCCGCTCACTGGTTGAGCGCGGTGCGGGCCCGACACCGAGGGTTGCGATCTCGTTGCCAGTCACGAAAAAAGACAAAAAGGAAAAAAAAAAAAAAAACAAGCATGGAAATATTACACAGTAGGATGCACACAGCACAGGAATTTTAAAGGAAAACCATGAGACTGTTCTCGTTGTACATTAGGGAATAGTTAATTGTCCACTGCGCTTGGGGATCTTCTGAGGGAAAGTTTTAAGAGCTCTGAAGTGCTGTCCCTTCCTTTCAGAACTTGACTGGGTCCTTGCCCCCCATGCGACTGCCCCAGCCTTAAGTACTGCTGCTGACCTATACATTGATGCAGCTGTGTGTTCATCCACCAAGCATTTATTAAACTCTTACTATATGCCAAGTTGAAATAGCCTTGATCCTAAAACTTGTCTTGAAATCAAAAATAAAGGTCCACTGGACCTCACCTCAGGGGGCCGACAGACCACTCTGCTTCGATGAGAACTGCAAGTAGTGACATCACGAGACCAGGACAAGTGTCTGGACCTTCTGCCACCCCATCCCCTCACCCCCACCACACTGTACATGGCCCTCATGGCCTTTTTAAAAAAAACAGCTTTATTAAGATATAATTCATATACCATATAATTTTCCCATTTAAAGTGGTTTTTAGTATGAGTGGTCTTCAAAAAGTTCATGGAAAGATTCATATTATCTTTTTGTGGGGGGTGGTTCTTGGGGGGTTAGTGGGGGGTGGGGTTGGCAGCTGGCTGATAGGAGGATCTGAACTCGTGGCCTTGCTGTCATATGGCTGTACTCTAACCAACTGAGCTAAACAGCCAGCCCCACATCATCTTGTAATTCCATTTTTCCACAAACTTTTTGAGGTACCCTCATATATTCACAGGTTGTGCAACCATTAGCACAATCTAATTTAGGACATTTTTACCACCCCAAAAAGAAATCCCACACGCATTAGCAGTCATTCTCACCCTCTTCCCAGACCTAGCAACCACTAATCTACTTTCTGTCTCTACAGGTTTGTCTATTCTTTTTTTTTTTTTTGTCTTTTTTCGTGTCCAGCAACGGATCGCAACCCTCAGTGTTGCGCCCGTACCAGACCGGGACCGGCAACGGGATCGCAACCCTCGGTGTTGCACCCGCACCTCGCTCAGCCAGTGAGCGGGAACCAGTCTGTATGTGGGATCCGAACCCTCGGCGGGAGCGCCACCGCGCTTCCCAAGCGGCGCACTGTAGCAGTGCGCCACCGGGCCGGCCCTACAGGTTTGTCTATTCTAAACAGTTCATATAAATGGAATCATAAATATGTGGTCTTTGTGTCTGGCTTCTGTCATTTAGTAGGATGTTTTCTGTGGAATATACTATAAAGCACATGTACTTCACAGGGCCTGGTTTTCCAAAGCCTTGCAGGTTCAAATATTGACCTTGGGGAGGACTGGAAATTTCCCTCAGGGTATAAGTCTCTGTTGCAAGATAAGAATCGTGGCACAGCAGGTTGCTGGCTCAAAGACAGACTAGTTACTGATTGTTATGTAAAGATACTGAGAATTGCTATAGAAGGGATGTTTGCTAAGATCAAACTGTTGTTGATAGGACCACTTAATTGCCTTACTGGAATGTCATCTGGCTTGTTTCACTGAAAGTTACCAGCCTATACTGTTAAACTATAACCCCACATTCGTTCTCTTCCTGTAACTTCCTGGTCTGGAAAATAAATGCAGGGAGAGAACCCCAATTCAGCGTTAATTTCCCAAGGAAGGGATGCCTCTCACTTGAGCATCCCAAAGGGAGATTAACTACTTCAGGGCCTCTCACGGCTCAGTAGAGATGGGCTTTGAGTAATCCTTTGCGTCTCCATTACCCAGGGGAAGTGGGGTGACAAATCTGTGGGGGGCAAAACAATGCAAAGCAACAGTTTTCAAGGTTCATCTATGTTGTAGCATGTATCAATTTTCCATTCCTTTTTTATTGCTAAATAAAATTCCATTGTATAGGTAAAAGATGTTTTTTATTTTTTTTAAAAGGTGACCAGTAAGGGGATCTTAACCCTTGACTTGGTGTTGTCAGCACCACACTCAGCCAGTGAGCTAACCGGCCATCCCTATATAGGATCCAAACCCGTGGGCTTGGTGTTATCAGCACCACACTCTCCGCCCAAAACATGTTTTTTATTTATCCATTCTTTCATAAACTTATAGACATTTTGGTTATTTCCACTTTTTGGCTATTAAAGCTAAATATAGCTACTAATATCCCATTTATGGGTTATTATGAATAATGCTGCTATGAACATCCATGTATACATTTTTGTTGAACATATGTTTTTATTTCTCTTGGGTATATAAATGGGTGTGAAATTGCTGAGTCATGTGGTAACTATGTCTGACATTTTTTTTTTTTTTTAAAGATGACTGGTAGGGGGATCTTTACCCTTGACTTGGTGTTGTCAGCACCACGCTCTCCCAAGTGAGCTAACCGGCCATCCCTATATAGGATCCGAACCCGTGGCCTTGGTGTTATCAGCACCACACTCTCTGGAGTGAGCCACGGGCCAGCCCACTTTGTTGATTTTTTAACTGAGTATTTGTTTTTTTATTATTGAGCTGTAAGAGTTCTTTAAACATTCTGGATATGAGTTCCTTGTCAGATATATGATTTCTCCCATTCTTGAGTCATCTCTTCTCTTTTTTGAT